AAGTTTAAATTCTGTCATTAATCGCTCACCCTCATTTCGTTCCAAACCCATTAGACCTTCGTTCATCTTCAGAACACAAATTAAGATATTTTTGATGAAATCCGAGAGCTTTCTGGCCCTGCATAGACAGCAATGCAACCGACACGTTCAAGGCCTAGAAAGGTAGTAAGAACATTGTTAAAATCGTCCATGTGACATCAGTGGTTCAACCGTAATTTTATTTTATACAAAAATACATTTTGTGCGCAAAAAACAACAACTTTATTCAACAATTTCTTCTCTTCCCAGTCAGTCTTCGAAGCATGTTCACGACAGTACCATGCATAGCCACCGATCCCGTGACACATGTCTCCGTTCATTTTAACCTATAAGAAATATACTTTACAACTTTATCCTTATTTTTATAGTTAATTTCAGGCAGTTTTTGGCGTTCTTTTAATTGCAAATGTCAAGAGTGCATTATTGTAATACGAGAGGGCACCAGCACGAATCTCTCGGCTTACAGCAGGCTTGCTCTCCCATATATATAGTGATCAAGGCTCTGCGCTCGCTCAGATATTAGGCTACGTGTGCGCCCTCAAATTCTGTCCTGTGTACCCGCGAATAAGTGCTTATTGTAAACATGTATTTAATAAACAATTTTATTTAGTGAAGCGCAACCCTCATAGAAAGAATTTGTGTATTACTCGGTTGGTAATGTATTTGCAGTCCGTGCGTTTCACTTCGCAAGATAAATTTTGTGTAGTGAATTCATCAAATGCACAAAAATTCATCTTTGCACACAAAAAGTATTTTTGTAGAACAACTGATGTCAATTGGACTATTTTAACGATGTTCTTGAATGTGTCAGTTGCGTTGCAAGGTCATAAAGCTCTCGGATTTCATCAAAAATATCTTAATTTGTGTTCCGAAGATGAAGGTCTTGCAGGTTTGGAACGACATGAGGGTGAGTAATTAATGACAGAATTTTCATTTTAGGGTGAACTATCCTTTTAAAATTCATAGAAGCACACTGAAATATTGGGTATGATAATACATTTTATTCACACTAAACAATTTTTTCAGTTCTTTTAAGTATTGTGCAAAGGATTTTTTCACAGTGTGCTTTGGGATTGCCTTTGCTGTGAAGGATATGTGTGATGTGTTGGCCATAAGAGAGTATCTTGGCAGGCAGCATAATTAAGAGGTCTACCTTTTGGTCGAGAGCATGCTTATGATGTTTTTTAAATGTGGCCTTTGTAGGCAGCTCATTAGCTTTTGAGATGAAGTCAGTGTTGTTTTGTCAGCTTCTTATAAAATAATTTAATAAATTCACGTATAAATATAGGCAGTCGCGGTTTGTGCTTTCTGGGCCTGTTTCCAGAATACAACAACATATTTGAGTTTATTAGCGCTTGACCTACACAGTACAGTAGAGTATAACCGACCACTAATAGCAGTTGTCAGATTTCTCCACCTACAGTCTGAGCTGCACTATATAAAATTTCCATTTTCCTCCAGTGTTTCTGCCTGCTCCAGTTTCTTTTTTACCCCAGTGATGTGTAATTGCAAAAGAGAAATGTATTGATTGATTTAGATGGTCAGTTTTTAATAAAGCAGGTAGGATTTTTTTATCAGATGGCCTGGTTAGAATTTTAATTACCCTGACAAAATTTTCACTGGCATCAGCACAAAAAAAAATGTATGTAGTGATACATTTTTATATGTTCTAGAAATAATCTAGATATTTGTCATTGAATATAGGCTCTGTTTACAAATAGATCTGCATTTTTATGACAACTTCATGGCAAAGTGACACATTTATTAACACACATTTGCTTAACAGTAATGGCATGCAGTACAAAACATGGTTAGCTGTTTTATTTGGATAGTCCACTTTAGACATTCTACAGTTAACAGTCTACTAACGACTAATGCTCAAATGACTGGTAGTTGACATGTAGGCTAGTTGCAAAGTTACTTATAGTTAGTAGAAATTATAGTATCAAAATAAAAAGTTATCCAAAACTTTAGGGATCTCTAATTTTGCTCTGTAATAAACCGGATTATTGAAATCAAACAGTGTGCCTTGATCAATTTATTTTGATTAAGCATATTTTGTGCATTTGTCAAAACAAGTTGCATGCTTTTTCGTATGAGATCTGGCATCATATATACCCATAAGCAAACAGAGCATATATGCACATATCTCCCTCTCTCCCTTGTATAATTAGACTTTATTTGTGAATTTTAAGATGACAGAGGGAGGTAGATTTGCGACAAGCTGTCAGCATCCTGCTGTTTGTTCTCTATGCAACTTTAGAGCGAAGTCCTACCACTATAGCCGACTTAATCTGTCTATTTCAGTACTAATTGTTTTGGATCTGTGGATAAAAACAGAGAACTGGCAGCGGTCCACCAGCTCGCCCTCATGGGAAACTGTGAGGCTCAATGCAGAAAATGCCGCATAAGTTGTCATATCAGGCAGAAAGGGGGCCGATACTATTGCCTCTCACCGAACCTCCTACACCTTTCTACTCGCTCTGGGGATATAAATAGATCTTGGATATATAATACATTGTTATATTATGCATGCATGCCACATAAGGATGTCACTTCCAGTGCTGGCCTGTGACTCACTTGTCAAAGACACTAAATTCTGTGTGGGGAAGCATGGGCTCTGCATATTTTTTACGGTTATTCCTCAAACTCCAATTAAGTGTCAAAATATGCCACATCTCAGCACTTCTGTCTGGCGCGGTTTGGAGATAAGCACTGCAGGTTTGCGCGTCCAAAATGCATCCTGAGTTGCGGTAAATTTGGTTCGGCTTATTGCTTTCTCGGTTGTGGATTTTTACAGGGTTTATTTTGAGAGCAAAGACATCTGTTGTACCTACACAGTACAGTAGAGTATAACCGACCACTAATAGCAGTTGTCAGATTTCTCCACCTACAGTCTGAGCTGCACTATATAAAATTTCCATTTTCCTCCAGTGTTTCTGCCTGCTCCAGTTTCTTTTTTACCCCAGTGATGTGTAATTGCAAAAGAGAAATGTATTGATTGATTTAGATGGTCAGTTTTTAATAAAGCAGGTAGGATTTTTTTATCAGATGGCCTGGTTAGAATTTTAATTACCCTGACAAAATTTTCACTGGCATCAGCACAAAAAAAAATGTATGTAGTGATACATTTTTATATGTTCTAGAAATAATCTCGATATTTGTCATTGAATATAGGCTCTGTTTACAAATAGATCTGCATTTTTATGACAACTTCATGGCAAAGTGACACATTTATTAACACACATTTGCTTAACAGTAATGGCATGCAGTACAAAACATGGTTAGCTATGTTTTATTTGGATAGTCCACTTTAGACATTCTACAGTTAACAGTCTACTAACGACTAATGCTCAAATGACTGGTAGTTGACATGTAGGCTAGTTGCAAAGTTACTTATAGTTAGTAGAAATTATAGTATCAAAATAAAACGTTATCCAAAACATTAGGGATCTCTAATTTTGCTCTGTAATAAACCGGATTATTGAAATCAAACAGTGTGCCTTGATCAATTTATTTTGATTAAGCATATTTTGTGCATTTGTCAAAACAAGTTGCATGATTTTTCGTATGAGATCTGGCATCATATATGCCCATAAGTAAACAGAGCATATATGCACATATCTCCCTCTCTCCCTTGTATAATTAGACTTTATTTGTGAATTTTAAGATGACAGAGGGAGGTAGATTTGCGACAAGCTGTCAGCATCCTGCTGTTTGTTCTCTATGCAACTTTAGAGCGAAGTCCTACCACTATAGCCGACTTAATCTGTCTATTTCAGTACTAATTGTTTTGGATCTGTGGATAAAAACAGAGAACTGGCAGCGGTCCACCAGCTCGCCCTCATGGGAAACTGTGAGGCTCAATGCAGAAAATGCCTGGGATATAAAGTTGTAATTCTGAAATAAAGTCAGAATAATTTTTTTAACCATTACCCTAACCCTCTCAGAACTGGACATTATTAATCACAATTGCAAGTTTATATCTCACAATTCTGAAAAAAAAAGTCAGAATAGCTACAGTGGGTACGGAAAGTATTCAGACCCCCTTAAATTTTTCACTCTTTGTTATATTGCAGCCATTTGCTAAAATCATTTAAGTTAATTTTCAGGCAGTGGGGTCTGGGGGAAAACGGGCCGTGCTGATAATTATTTGTCTGACAGACACCTCATACCTGTGGGTGTTACTTTGATATTGGGATATGAATGAGCTCCAATTAGTGCCAGGGTAAAAGAAAAATACTCTAGTAGCAAAATGGAGGGGATTATGGAAGCCTGTTTCTGCCACTGAATAAAAAATAAAAAAGGTAATAGTGAGATTTTTTTCTCACAATTGTGAGCTTACATCACACAATTCTGACTTTTTTCTCAGAATTGTGTGATGTAAACGAACAATTGCGATATAAAGTCAGAATTGCGGGATATAAAGTTGTAATTCTGAAATAAAGTCAGAATTATTTTTTTAACCATTACCCTAACCCTCTCAGAACTGGACATTATTAATCACAATTGCAAGTTTATATCTCACAATTCTGAAAAAAAAGTCAGAATAGCTAGATATAAACTCACAATTGCGAGAAAAAAGGCAGAATTGTGAGTATATCCTGCTATTCTGACTTTATAACTCGTAATTGTGAGTTTGTATCACATAATTCTGAGGTAAAAAAGTCAGAACTGCTAGATGTAAACTCACAAAATTACGAGAAAAGCAGTCAGAATTGTGAGAAAAAAACTCACTATTACCTTTTTTATTTTTTATTCAGTGGCAGAAATGGGCTTCCGTAGGGGATAATGTTGCCATATAGAGGGAAAATTCCCTATGATATCAGAATAATTTATAGGGGGGATTGCGGTTTATCAGTAAGATTTAATACACGACTGAATGATTAGAACGATCATTTTTAATTAAATTATTTATTTTTTGTAGATACAGACTTGAAACAACAGCAGTGTAAGTACTTAAAGTATTGATAGGATTTGAAAGAGTGCAGATACTCACATGTATGTGTGTTATTTTGATTTACTGCTGAAGGAAGAGCCCTTTGAGGGAAACAAGGTAAGATGCAGGTATTATTATGTTTGGGTGTTTCCATGTGATCAGATTGATTGAAAGTGTTATAATGAACGAAAATCTCCATTTGTGATTCTTTTTTTCTCAAGTTTGCCATTTTTCCATTGTAATTTAGAGTCTTACTGGACTTCATCCTCCCTGGCCGTAGCAAACCGTTCACAAAGATAGCACATAGTGAATGAAAGAGCAGTGTTTGTCCATTTTTTAATTGTGTTCATAGCAATACCTTGTTCCGCATGTCGTTGCCATGTATCCGTCAGTGTAATTACCCTGTTCCACTCTTAGCTGCCTGTAAAATGCCACGACGACAGTCGTTTGAAACAGGATTTGCATGTATTGGGTTTTCTTGTTAATCTGACAGAACGAGCTGAGAAACACAGAGATGCTGTCAGCCGCCTGTGCAGTGGGGGTGGGCTGTTGCTTTGCAGCCCCTATTGGAGGTAAGTCCAGACATTGTGATCATAGCTGGCCATTGGAGATAACGCCATATCACATTTACGACAGTAACGTTTCCCTGTAAACTTCCAGCTTTGAGCAGAGTTGTTTGTCATATGATCTGCTGTGTTGTGGCAGGAGTGCTGTTTAGTATTGAGGTCACATCTACGTTCTTTGCTGTGAGGAACTACTGGAGAGGATTCTTCGCTGCAACCTTCAGTGCCTTTATCTTCAGGGTGCTGGCGGTGTGGAATAATGATGAGGGTGAGGGAGAAATCCGTCATGATAGCCAGCACAGTCAGATGATTCATTCGTCATAAATTTCTGTCATTCTCTCTTTGCCATATTGCAGAGACAATCACGGCTCTCTTTAAAACGCGCTTTCGTCTGGACTTTCCCTTTGACCTACAAGAGCTTCCAGCTTTTGCTGTGCTCGGGTTTGTGTCTCACCTTTGCCATCTTTCTCCTAAACACAAATTTGATTTACATCATTTAAATGATGGTAGTCAAAAGACAGATTTCCTGCAAACTGATATCCTTGTCTAAGAACATTTGTGTTAAAGGGGTCATATGACGCAATTTAAATTTTTCCTTTCTCTTTGGAGTCTTACAAGCTCTTGGTGCGTAAAGAAGATCAGTAAAGTTGCAAAGACTAAAGTCTCAGATCCAAAGAGATATTCTTTATAAAAGTTAAGAGTCAGCCACGCCTACCTAAAACGGTCGTTCTAACACGCCCCCACATGTCTACGTCACGATGTGGGAAGATTTGCATAGTGCCGCCCAAATGTTCACGCAAAGAAAGAAGGCGTAACTTTTATTCTCGCTGTAGTATTGTTGCCGCCGCCGCCATGTTGTGAAGGCACTGTGTGATTCATTGTGAAAGCGAAACTACTTTGTTTGGCCTTCCAAAAGAGGACGATATGCGCTTTGTCATGCCTAGAGCCTAGAGCTGATCCGTGCTGGTCGCTGAGGAAATACAACAACTTTGCGCTGTGGATCGCCGGATCGGCTTTCACCGTGGACGAAGCGGAGTCCGGGGCCGTCACATGTGGTTGCCGCAAGCCCTCCGGGCGCTCCTTCATCGAATCCGCCGGCCGCGCCGTTCTCAAGCCCGCCGCCTCTGCTCACTCTAGCCCTCCGGCCGTTCCTCACTCTAGGCCATGTGTGACGCTGTGTTTAGGCGTGAAAGTGAAACTACTTTGATAAGTCAGTATAATCCATAATCATGTCCCCACTGGATGCAACGAATCCTCATTTATAATGGATTTTCATGTTTTTGAATCGTCGCTCCGGCTGGACAGGGCATCATCACAATATGGTAAGGGGCGTAACATTTCAGTCACACGCTTGAGGTATTCGGCCAATCATAACGCACTGGATGGCTGGCCAATCACAGGACACCTTGCTTTTCAGACCGATGAGTTCTGTAAAAATCGACGCGTTTCAGAAAGGCGGGGCATAGAGGAGAAACAATAATGTACAGTATGTGGAAAATAATGTGGGGTTTTTTTTACCTTAAAACGCTTAAACACATTTCATTACACCAAATACACAAAATAATGTTCTTTTTAGCAGCATCATATGACCCTTTTAAAATGTCTAAGCTCTTTAGAACTGTTTATTTGCAAAGCTTAAACTTCTTGTTCTTGTGTTCTGGTTGACAGGCCAGGTTCACATGTCTAGTCTGTAAATCCAACAAGTTAGTTATTCTTAGTTCTTAGCTGTAAAATAGAAATGTGCAGTGATCATAGTTATACAGTACCTCTTGTCATGTTTTATGAGATTGATGTTTCAGTTCTTCTGTTGTTAATGTTTTTTTAGGATTGCCAGTGGTTTTGGAGGGGCGTTGTATGTCTACCTGAACAGGATCATAGTGGAGTCTATGAGAAAACAGAAAACCATCAACAAGTTTTTGCTAAAAAAGTGAGTTTTTTACAGCTTCTCTTACATTAACAATAATTCTTGTTGTACAATGTATTTTGCTTAGGTACTAGCACAGCATAAAATTTCATTTCATTGTTAAGAATGTTACAAAACATTATCACTAAATAATAATTCAACTTTCAACTTATTTGTATTTTTTAAATAAATAAATAAAATTATTATTATATTATATTATAGTAACAAATGTATTTTTTAATATATAAAAAGCAATTATTCTTTCTCATGTTTGGCTTTCCATAGAAGACTAGTGTATCCAGCAGTGGTCACTCTTCTTGTCTCTACACTCACCTTTCCTCCAGGGTTTGGACAGTTTATGGCAGGCCAGGTCTGATGTTTGAGATTTACTGTGTGTCTCATTGAAATTTTCAGATTTCCCTCTCTATATCTTTTTTCTTTCCACACAACCAGAATTTTTCAGTCTTTCAAGTGTGCTTCATTTTGTTCCAGATCAGTAATTATGCATTAAATAACAAACTGCGCTGCCTCCTCATTTAGCTGACTCAACATGAGTCACTAGTGGCACTGTTTGACAACCAAACCTGGTACAAGCAAGGTGTTTCTGAGGAGTTTGTGTACTCAAGTCACGTACCTCAGGCCTGGAAGCACCCACAAGTCAGTGTGTTCATCACACTCCTCCTCTTCATTGTCATGAAGGTGTGTCTCACCATATTATGTCAAATATAAAGGAAAATAAAAAGGAATAATTCAACCAAAAATTGAAATTTGCTGAAAATATACTCACCTGCAGGCCATTCAAGATGTAGATTAGTTTGTTTCTTCATCAGAACAGATTTGGAGAAATGTAGTATTCCTGCACTTGCTGACCAATGGATCTTCTGGAGTGAATGGGTGCCATCAGAATAAGAGTCTAAACAGCTGATAAAAACAGCACAATAATCCTAAAGTAATCCACATGACTGCAGTCCATCAATTAATATTTTGTAAAGTGAAAAGCTGCTGGTTTGTAATAAATAAATCCATCATTGAGATGTTTTAACTTTAAACTGTTGCTTCTGGCCAAAATAATGGTCTATAAGTCAATATATTGCTTCCTCCGGCGAACAAGTCCATCCCCTGTTGTTCTCTCAAATCAAAATCCACCAACATTTTTCTTCAGAACTGTTTTTACTTGTAAACGGTGCTTGATCTGTGCATATTTATCCTTTATACCTTTTCACTGGAGAAATATTATGTATCCCTAATTGTATAATATTATGGATAGAACACTTGTATTTTAGCCAGAAGCAATGGTTTGAAGTTAAAAACATGTTAATGATAGATTTGTTTATTATAAACGCACAGGATTTTGACTTCACAAGATGGTAATTGATGGACTGGAGTGGTGCGGATTACTTGTGGCAACTGTTTGGACTCTCATTCTGACGGCACCCATTCAGGATCCACTGGTGAGCAAGTGATGTAAATTTCTCTAAATCTGGTCTGATGAAGAAACAAACTTATCTACATCTTGGATAACCTGAGGGAAAATACATTTTCAGTAAATTTTATTGGGTGATAATAAAATTATATTTTGGGTATAATATTTTTGGGTAAACTATTTCTTTAACAGCAATTTTAAACACTGGGCAATATGTGACAATATGTGACCCTGGACCACAAAACCAGTCATAAAAGGGTCAATTTTTTAAATAAGCAAAAATATTATTTTTGTATATTATTATATACTTATATACTTATTTTTAATAAATAAGCTTTCCATTGATGTGTGGTTTGTTAGGATAGGACAATATTTGGCCGAAATACAACTATTTTAAAATCTGGAATCTGAGGGTGCAAAAAAATCAAAATGCTGAGAAAATCGCCTTTAAAGTTGTCCAAATGAAGGCCTTAGCAATGCATATTACTAATCAAAAATTAAGTTTTGATATATTTATGGTAGAACATTTACAAAATATTTTCATGGAACATGATCTTTACTTAATATCCTAATGATTTTTGGCATAAAAGAAAAATCGATAATTTTGACCCATTCAATGTTTTTTTGGCTATTGCTACAAATATACCCCAGCGACTTAAGACTGGTTTTGTGCTCCAGGGTCACATATGTGAATAATGTATGCAACATTGCATTATACTGGTTATTTTGTAATTGTTCTAGTTGCAAAAACAAAACATCTGGTCATATCGTCTCTGAAATGTCAATTACTCAGTATTAACTTTATTAAACTATGGACCTTTTTCACATTTCCGGGTTTCTCTGCTGCGGAAGTCGTCATAGTTGGGTTAACTTGAAGATCAGTGAATGGGAGAGTACCACAAATATATTTTTTGCATTGCCATTTGCTCAAATAGCAAAAGAAAAACTCCACGATAGTGTTTTCATGACTTTCAAAAAAAGGAAAAAAACTGAGAGAGACTGATAACGGCTGTCAGAAGAGAGAACGATGTCAAATTTACCGTCCCTCCCATAGACGCTGCATTAGAAACACCCTCGCATTAGCGTTAACTAGTTTTTTTGTAATTTGATGCAAAGGTGATATAATCAAAGTATAGTGTTATAAATGTACATACATTAAAAAAAATCAAAATATAAAAAACCTTCGAGGATTTATGATGCTGATGACTGTTAAACGCGTCATCACAGTCTTGTGAAAAGGGTCCATTGTGTATGTTGAATTGTGTTGATATATTAAAAACCAGCACAGTTTTGCTTAATCACAGCCGTCCAGATTTTCAGTGCAGCATCGTGATTACGACTGTGATATTGCTTAATTATTAAAAATGTCTTTGTCCAAGTGTGTGACCTTGTGGCTTCTAAATGTTTTCCTCAGTTCTGGATGTCAGCTGTGGCCACAACAATGCCTGTGCCTTGCGGGGCCTTCATGCCGGTTTTCCTCATTGGTATGTGATTATAGTGTGCGTGTGTCGTTTTTGAAAGTCAACACTGTGGGATATGCTTTTTTGGTTTCCATTTCAATTCACTATTGAATGAGCGAGCAGTTGCACTTTATTTTACAGTATGTGTACTTACATGTACTTACGGTGTACTTGCAGTGTACTTACCTAAGAAGGTACTGGTAATATAAGGTAACTACATGGGGTAGGGTTAGGTTTAGGGTTAGTACCTAGTTATAGTAATTACTTTAGTAAGTACACAGTATGTACATGAGGAACAGGACTGTAAAATAAAGTGCTACCGAGCGAGCACTTTTGAACATTATTTTGTTCTTGTGTTCGTACCAGCCATTATACTTTAGTTTGTTCTTAATGGTTGTTTTCCTTTTCCCGCAATCATGTTCTCCATTTCCATCCCTCATCACTGTCTGACTCACTAAAGCCTGTGTGTAAACGTGTCAAAATCACTGGAGTCAATGTTTGTGACTTCACGTAAGTATTCGTCAAGCACGTGTTGGTGTTTTTTTTTTCAAAATTGGTGTTTTTGCCACCTCCAGAATGTCATCGAATCTACGTTGTGAATTCTGTGTGTTGTACAGGAGCTGCGTTCGGTCGACTGGTCGGTGAGAGCATGGCCGCTGTCTTCCCCGAAGGGATACACGCCGACAACACTGTATATCCCATAGTTCCCGGCGGATACGCAGTTGTAGGTGAGAGCGTCGATTGTGCATGCCTTCTCGCGTATGTCCATTTGTTTTCTTTCAAAAGCCATCAGTTTCAGCCCGTCGTGGCTATATCTTATTCACACACGTAATTGAACCTGCAGGGTGTTGTATGCAAGAGTCATACATTTTTCATTAACCCACACAGACCAACAGCCAAATTAGATCTTGCCTGTGGAAATGGCTTCAGCGGTAGCGCTGCATTGTGCAGCGGAGCAGAAAGCTTGTCAGGAGCACAATAGGAAATCAGATGGCTTGCGGCGGGTGACTGCTACTGTAATTTGATGCGGGATGAAATGGTGATTCCCACAGGGGCGGCGGCTCTTTCTGGTGCAGTCACTCACACCGTGTCCACCGCCGTCATTGTGTTCGAGCTGACCGGTCAAATCTCGCACATCCTGCCCGTGATGATCGCTGTGATTTTGGCCAATGCCGTGGCTCAGAGTCTGCAGCCTTCCCTCTATGATTCCATCATCCGGATCCAGAAACTTCCCTACCTGCCAGAGCTGGGCTGGGGACAGGAGTGAGGGCTGTTACGTAACTTATCCAAATTATCACTCTCATATCATTCCCCTGGCGTTTTGAATGCTTACTCCCATCTCTCTCTTTTTTTTACCTGTAGGAAATATAATATCCGTGTGGAGGACATAATGGTGAGAGACGTGCGGTATATCACTCTCTCCTCCTCTTACCGGGATCTGCAGGAAGCTCTCATAACAGGCCAGCTTAAAACCCTGGCCTTGGTGGAGTCCAAAGGTGAGACATATAAAATATCTGTTTAAAGGTATATTTTGCACAACAAAATAAGTTATTCTGCACATGTTCTTCATACCACTATCTAGGGCTGTGCAACAAATCTAATGCAATTTTCATGCACATCTCGTCAGTAAAGGCGCTCCTGTGATTAGTAGAAAATCTCCAGCGCGTGCGTTCAGATGGAGTGGCATTTACTACACAGAGCCATACTTCACTGACAAGCTACACAAAATCACGTTCAAAATCACAGGCGATTCACAGTTCTCTTACATTAGGAATTTTAAAGGGGTCCTATTATGCTTTTTCACTTTTTCAACTTTAGTTAGTATGTAATGTTGCTGTTTGAGCATAAAAAAGATCTGCAAAGTTACAAAGTTCAAAGTCCACTTCAAAAGGAGATATTTTATTTAACAGAAATCACTTTTGAAAAAATACAACGAATGATACGTTTGGACTACAACGCATATTTTCCGAGATTTGAGATATCACAAATATCGACGAATGGGACAAGACCTGGATGAGCTGCTCTAGAGAAGGCAATGAGTGTTATCACTATGTCGGAGACATGCTAGCTTTCTCAAGGCAGATGAACTTAGAGTGTTTACAATCATCCGGTTTAAATCGCGCTCAAATTGATTTGATATTGGCGCAATATTTACACTGAAGCTCACAGGCGGCTATCGTAAGGGGCATGACATTTCCCGACCAGGCGCTGAGTGCTGCCAATCACAGCACACACTGGCCCAGCTAACCAATCACAGCACATTTCGTCTTTCAGAAGGCGGGCCTTCATTTGATACAGGAACTATTCGAGCCGTTCATGCTAGACTGGGGAGAGAGGTGTAGTAATAATGTACAATATGTGAAAAATTATTTTTTTTCGAACAACCTAGTATGAGAGCCTGTTCTAGTACACCCCCAAAACAAAATCAAGACTTTGTAAAAGAGCATAATAGGACCCCTTTAAGACAAATTTTAGACAGTATTCTTCCCAAAGTGTCTTTTTTCCCCCATTTTGCTCAATATAGAAGAGTGATTCAGCTGAAATAACTCTGCAATATCAACTTTTGATTGCTGAACCATTTTCGGCAAGAAATAAGCTGCACTCAAAATGAGTTTTCAATGACTGATACCAGTATCTAGAGAGCAAAGTAGTGCGTGTGCATATGTGTGTGTGTGTACTTCATATAATGCATATACTGTATAAAATATGAGTTTTATTAATTTCTTTAAAAAAACTTGCTGACAAAAAACAATATTATTATTATTACTATTATTATACTTTCTAGAAAGACTACATTAAACTGAGCAAATGTTACAGTAAAGAACTTTATAATGTTACAAAATATTTATATTTTAAATAAATGTTGTTCTTTTGAACATCCTGAAAAAAAGCATGCACAAAAATATTAAGAAGCACCACTGTTTTGAACATTTACAGTGGGTAAAATAAGTATTGAACACGTCACCATTTTGCTCAGTAAATATATTTCTAAAGGTGCTGTTGACATGAAATTTTCACCAGATGTCGATAACAATCCAAGTAATCCATACATATAAAGAAAGCAAAACAAATAAGTTCAGAAATTAAAGGAATAGTTCACAAAAATGAAAATTCTGTCATTAATTACTCACCCTCATGTCGTTCTAAACCCGTAAGACCTCCGTTCATCTTCGGAACACAAATTAGGATATTTTTGATGAATTCTGAGAGCTCTCTGACCCTCCCATAGACAGCAATGTAATTACCATGATCAAGGTCCAGAAACGTAGCAAGGAGATGGGTAAAATAATCCATGTGACATCAGGGGGTCAACTGTATTTTTACGATGCTACGAGAAAAATTTTTTTAAACAAAGAAAACAAAAAAAAAGACTTTATTCAACAATTCGTCTCCTCCGCATCACCCTGGTGCCATTTTGGAGAGTATCCACTGAACATAAACAGCGTATGCTATTCTGTGTCAGCTGCGTCACGCGTACACGTTTTCTACGTTGTTTACGGTTTGATTTGAACAAAAACAACGCATCCGCGTGACGCTGTTTACGTTCAGTGGATACTCTCCAAAATAGCACCAGGGTGGAGATGAATTGTTGAATAAAGTCATTATTTTTGCTTTCTTTGCGTACTAAAAGTATTCTCGTTGCTTCATAAAATTAGAGTTGAACTCCTGATGTCACATGGATTATTTTACCGATCTCCTTGCTACGTTTCTGGACCTTGATCGTGGTAATTACATTGCTCTCTATGGGAGGGTCAGAGAGCTCTCAGAATTCATCAAAAATATCCTAATTTGTGTTCTGAAGATGAACGGAGGTCTTACGGGTTTAGAACGACTTGAGGGTGAGTAATTAATGAAATTTTTGGGTGAACTAACCCCTTAAGTTCTGTGTAATAATGTAGAATGACCCAGGGGAAAAGTATTGAACACATGAAGAAAGGGAGGTGCAAAAAGGCATGGAAAGCCAAGACACCAGCTGAAATCTATCAGTAATTAGAAAGCAATCCTGCCCCTTTTCAATGGAAATTAACAATCCCAACTGATGGCCTATCGAAAGGTGTCTCATGACCAACGTGTCACATAAGAAACATTTCATGATGGGTAAAAGCAAAGAGCTTTCTCAAGACCTTCGCAACCTTATTGTTGCAAAACATACTGATGGCATTGGTTACAGAAGGATTTCTATACTTCTGAATGTTCCAGTGAGCACTGTTGGGGCCATAATCCAGAAGTGGAAAGAACATAATTTCACCATAAACCGGCCACGACCAGGTGCTCCTCGCAAGATTTCTGACAGAGGAGTGAAAAGAATTATCAGAAGAGTTTTCCAAGAGCCAAGGATTCCTTGTGGAGAGCTTCAGAAAGACCTGGAATTAGCATGTACAATTGTTTCAAAATGCACTCAACCGCTGTGGCCTGTATTCAAGGACCTATTGCTGAAGAAAAAGCATGTTGAAGCTCGTTTAAAGTTTGCTGCACAACATTTAGACAAGCCTGTGAAATACTGGGAGAATATAGTCTGGTCAGATGTGACAAAAATTGGACTCTTTGGATGCCATAATACACACCATGTTTGGAGGTCAAATGGCACTGCACATCACCCCAAAACATCATAGTGTAGCACTGGCAAAATTCATATAACTGAAGGAAGGATGAATGGAAAAATGTACCAAAACATTCTTGATAAAAATCTGCTGCCATCTACCAGGATGATGAAGATGAAATGAGCGTGGACATTCCAGCGAGACAATGATCCCAAACACACAGCAAAGGAAACTCTCAATTGGTTTCAGAGAAAGAAAGTAAAGCTGCTAGAATGGCCCAGCCAATCACCTGACTTGAATCCAATAGAAAATCTATGGAAAGAACTAAAGATTAGAGTTCATAGAAGAGGCCCATGGAACCTTCAAGATTTGAAGACTGTTTGTTTGGAAGAATGGGCCAAAATCACACCTGAGCAATGCATACGACTAGTTTCTCCATACAAGAGGCGTATTGAAGCTGTCATTACAAAGGCTTTTGTATGAAGTATTAAATACATTTCAGTATGGGTAAGTGTTCAATACTTTTTCCCTGGATCATTCCATTTTATTACACAGAACTTCATTTCTGAACTTATTTGTATTGTTTTCTTTGTGTCTGGATTACTTGGGTTGTTATAAATAAAAAATTAAAAATTCTCTCTCTTTATTTATTCCTTCTCTTTTTAGCTTGTACTTATTTGAACAATGTCTAAGAACTTGGTATTACAACCACTTCCTGTGTCTGTTTGCCTCTTTAAGAAGAATCGCTTTATGTATCCCCCAGTTGTAAGTCGCTTTGGATAAAAGCGTCTGCTAAATGACTAAATGTAAATGTAAATGTTATCGACATCTGGTGAAAATTTCATGTCAACAGCACCTTTAGAAATATATTTACTGAGAAAATGGTGATATGTTCAGTTCTTTTTTTCTCCGCTGTATAATTATACAAAATGTTTCTTGAGCACCAAATCTGTATATTAGACTGATTTCTGAATGATTATGTGACACTGAAGATCTAAGAACTTGGTATTACAACCACTTCCTGTGTCTGTTTGCCTCTTTAAGAAGAATCGCTTTATGTATCCCCCAGTTGTAAGTCGCTTTGGATAAAAGCGTCTGCTAAATGACTAAATGTAAATGTAAATGTTATCGACATCTGGTGAAAATTTCATGTCAACAGCACCTTTAGAAATATATTTACTGAGAAAATGGTGATATGTTCAGTTCTTTTTTTCTCCGCTGTATAATTATACAAAATGTTTCTTGAGCACCAAATCTGTATATTAGACTGATTTCTGAATGATTATGTGACACTGAAGATTTTGAAATAATCCAGAGAGCACCTGGCCAAACAGTCACATCATTTTAATTATTTGATTAGTGTAGAATCTGAAACATTTGTTTTAAATGTTTTCAGAGTCCTAGACATTTGTTTATTTCAAGGTTTATATCTAGATTTTTTAAATGTGTAAAATATGCCTAATAACGATTTTGAGTTAATATATTGCTTGAAAACTAGAAGTGTACAGATGTAGATGCCTGGAAAGTAAATGAGCTTCTGAATGAATTTGAGAAACAGAGAAAATGAGGCTTAAAAATGGACAGTGTGCTAGAAAAAGAAAAATACAAGTAAATAAGTGTGTAAAAATGAGGCTGTAAATATTTGTTGACGTTTTACTGATTTTAGTACAGTTTCTTTTCCAGACATTTTCTTGATGTTCCCAAATGAAAGCTCACAGTTGGAAATGTAATCCCACAATTCCACCTCATACCCTGTGACAGACACATTCTTTACCTTCTCCATCTCCTTTCCCGTCCTCCCACCATTTCCCTTTGCTCTCCCCCATTCCTCCAGCTATCCCGCTGTGTCTCTCTCACTTCTCTCTTTCTCTCTCTTTCCCTCTCTTTCTGGTCTCTCTGCTGTCTCCCTTGCCTGTGTCCCCACCTGGCTCCAGAGTCCATGATCCTGCTGGGCTCTATGGAGCGCTCCCAGCTGCAGTCCCTGCTCTCGCAGCAGCTCAGCCGAGCTCGCAGGCTGGAGTACTTGAGGGAACGTGCTCAGGACAATGGCACCCATGTGCCCACCTTCCCCCAAGACTCTCCCCCCAGGACTGGTCATGGCGTACGTTTCCTGGTATGAACTTCAGAGCGAAGACGCTAGTGTTAATTACACTAGTTAGTAGTGAGAACTGGACCATAAACCAAAGTGTTACTATTTATTTATTTATTTTATTTTATTTTAAAGAAATTAATAGTTTTATTCAGCAAGGACGTACTGACATCAGACTTTTTAATGGTAGTTTAGACTACAAAAATGACTGTAGGTTAAAGGAATATATCAACCAAAAATTTAAATTGTTGTCACATGTTGTTCTAAGCCTGAATGCAATTTTTCTGTGAAACTGAAATCTCATATGCACTTTCAGATTGCACCAGGTTTTAGATGGCAAAAAGCTATTAGGGATACATTGATATTAACATTTTGGCCACATAAGCCGATAATTATTTTCATAATATGGACGGTAGCTGATAAATTCTTATATGTAGTTTCTACATTATAGAATATTTGAGTTATATATTAACTCATGATTATCTGTGCATTAGTTAAGCATGAATTAATGCATATTATTGCCACCGTATTGTAAAGTGTTACCAATATTTGTCTAAATCAAGTTAAAATGAAACACTAAAAACAAAAAAAAAGTGAATTTAGGCATCACAGCAATATAAAACTATATTGCTATATAAAACTGTACTATTATACTAGTACAATATAATAGTAATAATAGTACATGAAAAATTAATATTCGTTTAGATATTTGCTAAAGATTACACAACTTTTTTTTATTAAATTATCAGTGTTTTTAAAGGGGTCATGAACTGCCTTTGTTTTTTTACTTTGTGCTGTTCTCTGAGGTCCACTTATAATGTTATCAAGATTTTTACATCAAAAAACATAATAATTTAGAAGAAATAGGCTATTTTCTGTCCTGTTTTTTGACAGAAAATAGTCATCCCTCATCAGAATGCTGTGTTTGAATAGGCGTGGCAGATTGTAGACTCAGAAGTAAACACCCACTGCTATGATTGGCTTGTGTATGTTTGACAGTCTATGTCCTTCATGGATGCTGATGTGATTTAGGTTAAAATCGCATAAATACTCAGTATATATCAAACGATCTGTTAAACAGACAAAGCAATAGTGACCACGTAATAAAAGCAGTTACTCACACTTGTGTGTTGTGACATGACTGTCGGATCCAATCGGCACAGCATCGTCTTTTAGTTTCAATCTTTTTTTAAAAATCTCACGTTGTATTGAGCCGTGTTTGTAAAAATGAAGTAAACAAAAGAGTTCAGGAAGAGCACAGGAAGTGCTCGTAATACCAAGTTTCAGGCATTTGTTCAAATAAGTACAAGCTAGAAAGGGAAGGAATAAATAAAGAGAAAGACAAAGTTGATTTTTTTAAAAATTTAGGATGAAGTCAAGTTGCGTCGGAAGAGGTGAGTCGCTTGAAAATTGTCAGGGATTCAGCATTCCGGATAGGGGTGGGAAGATCATTCCACCTGCCAGGAATGGTGAACAAGAATGTTCTGGAAAGTGATTTTTAGCCTCTCTGTGATGGTACCACGAGGCGTTGCTTCTGGAGGGGATGTAGATTCATAATAGTGAGTGGAAGTGGGCGGGTGCTGAGCCTGTGGCTGTTCTATATGTGTAGGAGAGATTGCTTGCAGAAGGTGAAGGAGAAGGAGAAGGATTGGGTCTAGAGGGCATGTTGTAGGATGGCTGGTGAGGAGAAGTTTTGATACTTCTGCCTCAGTGAGGGGACAGAAGGAGAAGATGGGAGTTTTAGCAGTAGGTGTGGTTGGTTTGAGGTCCTGTGTGTTAGGGGCTGAGAATCGACTAAAGATTGTTCTAGTTTTGTCTGTGAAGAATGTGGCGAAATCATCAGCTGTTATAGAAGTGGTGGAGGGGGACAGAGGAGAGAATTAAATGTTTTGAAGAGATTACGTGTGTCTGGAGCGCTGTTGATCTTATTGTGGAAATAGGAAGATTTGGCAGTACGGACTTCAGCAGAGAAAGATGAAAGCAAAAACTGATACATACTCAGGTCTGACAGATATTTTGATTTGCACCATTTTCTCTCTGCTGCCCTGAGTTTGGTCCGATGCTCACGAAGAACATCGGATAACCAGGGGTTAGAAGGGGCAGCCCGTGCTGGCCTGGAGGAGAGAGGACAAATATCGTCTAGACAAGAGGTTAAAGTAGAGCATAAAGTGTCAGTTGCTGCATTCACATCCAGAGATGAAAAATGGGTAGGTGAGGGAAGAGAGGAGGATACTACAGATGAAAGATAGGGGTTGGTGGCACACAGGTAGCAAAATGTAGTTTAAATGTAATGAAGAAATGGTCAGAGATATGTAGGGGTTCTACCAAAATGTTGTCTGCAATACAATTGTGTGTGTAAATTAAGTCAAGTTGGTTGCCTGATTTGTGCGTGCTTGTAGTGGTAAGGCGTTTGAGATCAAATGAAGCAAGGAGTGAATGGAACTCTGTAGCATAAGGCTTGTCCAGATTAATGTTGAAGTCGCCAAAGACTAAAAGTGGACTGCCATCTTCCGGGAATGAGGAAAGCAGCCCATCCAGCTCCTCTAGGAAGGTGCGTCCCAAGATGCTGAGTGTGGATTGTAAAGAAAAAGCAGAAATTAAGTCTGCTTTGTTGACAGCTGACTGACAATTCCAGAGGCCCACAGAGAAAGAAAGTGGTGCAGTAGAAGATGTAGAGATAGGATGCAGGTTAGCAAGATTGTGTTGCCGTCTGCATGTGATGTTAGAGCGTTGTTGAGAGACAACCAGAATGTTTTGGAAACACGTGATAGAGGTGGAAAAGAGATGACAGAAAAGGAGAGTGTAAAGGGAAGATAAAAATAATACTTAAGTGCATTGCCGGTTTCGTTGCTTGGGGAAGTCGCGCAGGTAAAGTTGCAGGTCTTTACACTCGTCGGTCTTCACACGAGGGCTGAACGCTTCTGCTGATACTTCCGCGTCAGTGCACGGACATCAAAGAAATACACAGTCTAAGAGACTAAAGTCAAAACAGCTGTGGCCGCCTTCTAATTAGCACAGCCAATAGCCTATAGCAGGACAATTGCTCAAATCGAAACTACAGTTCGCACGTAAGTGCAGGAAGTGAGCAATGCAAATAACACAGGCTCCTTCTTAGCCAATGGCAATTATTATAATTACCAGTAAGTGCAATCAAAAATACAAACTACAATGAAAATACAAAGTAGAAATAGGTAGACAACTAAATATTCCTTCCTAGCAGCAAGTAATAATTTAAACAACAGATCTCCAAACAAAGTATTAAGCAAAAATCTTCTTCTGAGGAGGTGGTGCTTATCCCCACTATTACATCATAGAGTGGTACATTCCACTAACTGTTGTTTTGGCAGACTGCCTTCAATATAAGATGTTAGACTAACGAGAAAGTTTTGTGTTCTGAAACTTGCAGGATGTTTTTATAGTACAATGACCTCTTATATGTCAAAAGAGCAAGGGAATTTGGTTTCTCAGTTCATGACCCCTTTAAAGATGAATTTTAAGTGATGGTTAATTGATGGCACAGGTAATCTAAATGTTAAAATAAGGGAAGTGAGTATGAACAATTGAATTTCCAACAAAGCAATACATCCAAAAATATATGACATATCCTACACATGGTAAGTGAATGCTGCGCTTGAACACGCAAGATAAAGAATAAGATTTGAGAGCTGCAGAGAAGAGGCAAATTTTCCATAATTAAAGACCTAAATTTTAGTCTGTGTAGTATTGCTTCAGAGGTCTTGAAATATAGCAAATGAGGCACATGGACTGCTTTTATGGTTCCTTACAGTGTTTATTGGTAATTATGAGCTTTCTTACAAGATGGAACAGCATAAACATTTCTCCTTCCGTGTTCAACTGAAAACAGCATATGGGCTTGGAACAGCATAGAGAAAGTAATAAATAATTTTCAATTTTGGGTGAAGTATTTCTTTAATTATGTTCAATGTTAGTCTGACATTATTTTTGGAGTCTGTGTTCCCCAGTTGTCTGTTTATTTCTCAAGAAGAAGATAGGATTGTCAGATCGCCGTCAGGTGTTTTTTTTTCATGTTTCTGTTTCATCCCAAAGAATTCCTTCCCAGCAGGCTGTCATCTCTGAGTTCAGTAATACAGCTGGGAGTATGTGAAGCCTGTGTTAGTAATCAAACTTACTTATAAGTGGATCTAACAGACTGTTTTTCTCCAGATCTCCACTGAAGAGTCCTCCTACAGCCCCACACTGACTAACTCCCAGATCCCCCTCAAGTCTGCTCTGAAGACGGTGTCTGCAATCAGCAACACAGAGTCACTGAACAGTGTGTATATAACACTTACTCACACATTTCAACTCCTACTCATGTATGTCGTGTTGTGAACTGTCTGCGACCCCCTGGTACGCACCCATCTTGTGCTAATCTAATCACTCCTCTTCTGCAGGCTCTCCAAACCTCTCCTCTGGGGAACCTGTGAAGGAGCTAGTAGAGGTATGATGGCTCTCTAGGGATCGTGAGTGATACGTGGCACTTGTGTAGCTGTAGATTTTACAGGTGCCCGGAGACTGAATATGGGATGAAAGACTAAGGAGGAACCATCTGCCAAACCAGCCTAACAATTAGCCTAAACATCTTGTTTGTTGCTTTTTAAATGTTTTAGTGGCTGTCTTAGGCTTTGTTCAGACAGGCCTATCTTTTGCCGTATTCGACTCGCTTCTGTTTAGTTATCTCCTATTTTAAACATTTTTGACAAATGTGATTCAAAGCACATAAATATGTGAATAAAAAACCTGATGTTTGATTCAAGTCAAATTAGATTTCATGGATTTTTATTCAACATTTGTGCTGCAGAATATCCAAATTCACTCTTTACTCTCACATGTGGCATTTACTATTGAATGCTGAGCGGATCTGATTTTTTGAATTGGACTTAAATACAGATCAGGTGTCAGATTCACAAAAATCTTTTTAAGAAATAAGTTAAGAAATGTTCTAAAATAAATTTGTCAGAATATTCCAAAATGCTATTTTTTTTCAATTCAAAAGTAGTTCTCAAATATATTCTTAAGAACATCTTATTTCTTCGTAAAAAAGAAAATGACAAGCTTTTGTTCTGAATGATTGAATAGCAGTTCTTGCCAAAGCCTTAGCACTCGAAGAGTCATGTTTTTGTAATGAACCATGTACTTACTTTAAGTTTTTTAAAATGATATTCTTCCTAGCTTTAAAGGGATAGTTCACCCAAAAATGAAAATGAGCCCATTATTTACTCACCCTCAAGCCACCCTAGGCGTATATGACTTCCTTCTTTCAGATGAATCCAATCGGAGTTATATTAAAAATTGTTTTTGATTTTCCAAGCTGTTTAATGGCAGTCAGCGGGTGTTGCAGTTCATCAGTCCAAAAGAAGTTAAATAAAGCACATCCATCCATAGTAAAAAAGTGTCTCACATGGCTCCGGGGGGTGAACAAAGGCCTCTTGTAGCAAATCGATGCGTTTTTGTAAGAAAAATATCCATATTCAAAACGTAATAATCAATTTAATCTAGCCTGCGCCAACAGTTGTACATGGAAGCAGCTCTGGTAAGATGTCGGCATTGCACATTGAGTCTCGTGAAAACCAACGTTTGTTAACAGGAGCAAAGGAAGCAAAGTTTCCTTACTTTAGCAAAGGAAAACCAGTCTCCAGGCTTATAATTGAAATCCTCTGACATTCGTTACAAATCCTCATTTTGTATTTCTAATTCGTGACCGATGTTTTGTTTTGATCTCTCCCCTGCGCTTTTGTGCTCGTCACTTCTGAGTGGCGCATGCGCAACGCCGACATCCTATGTCATCTGCCCTGAGCTGCTTCCGTGTACCACAGTGAGCACAAGCTAGATTAAATTGATTATTACGTTTTAAATATGGTTATTGTACCATATTTACCCGGAGCCATGTGAGACACTTTTTATTATGGATGGATGTGCTTTATTTCACTGCTTTTGGACTGATGAACTGCAACACCCGCTGACTGCCATTAAACAGCTTGGAAGATCAAAGACTATTTTTAATATAACTCCGACTGGATTCGTCTGAAAGAAGAAAGTCATATACACCTAGGATGCCTTGAGGGTGAGTAATTCATGGGCTTATTTTCATTTTTGGGTGAACTAACCCTTTAAAAAGTTAAGATGTTTTTTTTTTATATTCTTTCCATGAATTCAGATTTTTCTTAAGTTTTGTCTTTAAATTAATCTAAAACAGATAATAACATTCTTCAGAATGTTTTTTGGGAATACAAAATATTCTTAGAAAAATAGAATGTTTCTTGAAAGCAGCCATTTAAAAAAAAAAATGAATAGGATTTAAGTGCAGTGTGAACAAGGCCTTAGTCTGTGTTTCTTTGGAGTTTCACCTCATGTTTAAGTAGACTCCCACAGGACTTCTCTTATCAAGCGACATCTGTTGACCAGCACAAAGTGAGCGTTTTGTCAGCCTGGCATTAACATGGGATTTCGGCTGCTGTATTTATTTGTTACACACCCCTTTCTGCCTTTCTCTTTGGAGGAACGACGGCTCTAACAGTGTCCCTTGATAATAGTCAATGTTGAAGGTGCAGCTGTTGAGAGAGCTTTGCGTTAGAGTTACATTAACGCTTTATGCTCCTCCCTTTTCTATCTATTCTGACTGGAAGAGCAATGCTGGCCCCATGGCTCCTAAGAGGAGCAGGAGGCCCAAGCGTGTGAAGATACCCATGGCGGTAAGAACGCAGCCGCAGGGACTCGTTCCGCTCGCCCACAAACACGCATCATCGGGGGTGGCAGTGGCACAGCCAATAGGGCCTTTACTCAGAGGCCTTATTGCGTTCTGCCTGTGTGCTGTATTGATACTCTCCTCCAGCTTAGTACTTCTCCTCTAGGGAACAGGGAACAAGCTGACTCATGAGATGATTCATGCCATGTTATGAAGTGTATATTTATCTCTCATGGGTTTGAGTGCGTTTGTGTGACGCATGGTTTGGTTTTGCAGTTGTCAAGATTCAGAACAGGCCCCAAATGTTTGTAAACCTACAGGCGGACGTCAGGGGATGTTGCAGTTGGACCCGTTACTTTTGAACAAATCTTTAAAAGTTGATTCAAGTCCAATTTTGAACTGGAGCCTTAAACTCTCCAATCAAATTAAAAACCTTTTGAAAAGCTATTCCCTGTCTTAGTGCTTTATTGTCTTCGTAATGGCATCCAATCTACCTCGCCCTCCCCTAGGCTGCGTTTAATGTTTTGCTTAAGCTTGCTAATGTTTAGTAAAGCTTGAGCCGCTTCGGTAGATTACATTAGTCCAAACAAAGAAGAAAGATCCAGGGGGCGGGGTTGGATCCACATCTAGGGGGTGGAGATGGGTGGGTTTAGGGATCAGGGGGTGGAGATGGGTAGGTTTAGGTATATGTAAGGTGGGAGGAGTTGGATCTGGATCCAACCTCGCCCCCTGGATCTTGTGTTCTGCAGTGAGGACCATCTCGCTTGTCTTGTAAACTGCATGACCGTTTGTGAGGACAAGAAGGTATGAAAGAAACATTTGTGCATTTCTATGTCTAATTCTCAACTTGATGTTTTCAGGATACACCTGATGTTGAAGATGACATGTCAACAGCAGAGGTATGTCAATTAAATACTATACTTACCCCTTAATTATGTTGTAACTGTATCATGATTCTTGTAGCGAGTCACATATTCTGAGGTATTGTCCATTTCATTGTAACTAATGTGTATTCTAGAATAAACAGAGGGGTTTGAAAGTTTGATTCGGGGAATTCAGAATTCTATTAAAACTCAAATGATGACTTTGCATTTTTGCTTGAATTATTTCTTTAATATTAAACGGACTGCTTATGGAGAGGATTATCTTATGATCTTGCATAAATAGTATAAAAGCTAGAATAATTTTCCCTGTCAGTTTACATAAAAAAAATTTGTAACCTTTAATAGTATTAACTTTTTTTTTAATTTCCTTTTTCAGATAGCAGAGTGGGAGGAGCAACAGTTGGATGAGGCTGTTAATTTCAACAACTGTAAAATAGACCCCGCCCCCTTTCAGCTGGTGGAACGGACATCTTTGCATAAGGTAAAAGATTTGCGGTATCTGCCAAGCATAGTGCGCTGCAGTGATGATAGCAGTGTATTTTTGTAGGCCAACTTTGTTGTTTACATCACCCTAGTTCCCTTGACAAAAACCCAATAGGATTTTTCCATTGGCTTTTGGGTTATTACAGAAAAGCATTCAATTTAACACAATTTTTATGAATTTTGAAACCTAAATACAGTCCCCAGAAGTGAAAAGCTAAATGTACTGTATGCACGCAAATTACAGAGAAGTACAACAGTTAACGTATGGTGTTCGGCAGTGTTCAAAAAGGATTTAAACATTGAATTTTGAATTGATTTCTTCTCGTAAACTCAGAGATGTGGATTCGGATGGCAATTCAATTACCACACAACCTTGGTGTTTGTCAAAAAACAGTAGGTAATTCAGCCTGGGATTTTTACGCAGGTGGTGAGAGAAAAACACTGACATTTTGTATTCGGACGGCAATAAAATCACCAGCGACCCCCTGTAAATGGTGAAAATAACTTGCGTCCCCTTGAGACACAATTACCGTCCGAATAGGGCAAGAAACCAGTAATTTAACACAATAAGGCTGTAAAACAGACTAGTGAGTAGATGAGTTTACCTGTTCGGCATGATGACTTTTAATGTTCCTGACAATCTCTGTAGTTCCATTAGGACACTTGTTAGCAACCGCCTTTTTCAAGACAAGTAAAAGCTTTAAAAAAAAATCACAAGCATTACTGATGTATTTTATGTCATAGAATAAAACATGAAAATGTCTTGAACTTGTGTGAACCACAGACCTTATTTCAGTCATTTAACAAAAAACCCATTAAAAAAAACAGAGCCTTGCGGAAGATGAAGTGAAGGAAACATGCTTGTTCCTGGGTTTAGACCTAAAAAACAATGTCATGCCTACAGCACTATATTATTCAGCCATACAAAATGACAAAAAATTATCATAAAAGTAGTGCAGATCATTTGTACAATATATTCTGAAGCCACATGGCAGATTTTTGTTAGGAATATATTGTATTGTAAGCCATATAAAGTCATATGGAAAAGCAACAGGTAACACTTCAGTTTAGGGACCATTTCTCACTATTAACTAGTTGCTTAGCATGCATATTACCAGCATACTGGCTGTTTGTAAACTGTTGACTTGCAAAGCACATATTAATGTCTTATTCTGCATGACCATATTTTAGATCCCTTAACCATTCCCAATACCTACAGTGCATGCATAATTATATAAGTTGATATTCTGATCATATTTTTTTCAAGCACATTTTACCAATTCCAAACCACATCAATCTTAATAACTATTAATTTTGTATTTAATCATTTAAAAGTGATATATGATTGTCCATTAAGGCTGGAAGTGAAAAAATCCTTATATTCAGGTGTGCAGAATTATTAGGCAGGTTTTCTTTTACAGATAAAATGAGCCAAAAAAGAGATTTAACTCAGACTAAAAGTCAAATTGTATTAAATGCCCATGAGATACTAGAATTTGCAAAGTCAAGGCATGACCATTGGACAGCGAAATGCTCACTGTGTCAGCACAATCAGAAAAACAGGTGGAGAAGAAAAGACACGCTAATTGCATTTCCATCTCCTATCTTGAAAAGCCTGTCTTGCAGAGATGGACTAAAATGAATTCCAAACCTTACTGCCAGATTCTGGAAGCTAAATTCTTGAAAGAGTGGGACAAGTGGTGCTGGTCCTTCAAGTGAAGTGAAGTATGTATGGTGACCCATACTTGGAATTAGTGCTCTGCATTTAACCCATCCAAAGTGCGCATGCGCACCCAGGGAGCAGTTGGGGGTTGGGTGTTGGGCGCCCAGGGAGCAGTTGGGGGTTCAGTGCCTTGATCAAGGGCACCTCAGTCGTGGTAAATGCCCATGAGATACTAGAATCAAGTCAAGGCATGACCATTGGACAGCGAAATGCTCACTGTGTCAGCACAATCAGAAAAACAGGTGGAGAAGAAAAGACACGCTAATAGCATTTCCATCTCCTATCCTGAAAAGCCTGTCTTGCAGAGATGGACTAAAATGAATTCCAAAACTTACTGCCAGATTCTGGAAGCTAAATTCTTGAAAGAGTGGTACAAGTGGTGCTGGTCCTTCAAGTGAAGTGAAGTATGTATGGTGACCCATACTTGGAATTAGTGCTCTGCATTTAACCCATCCAAAGTGCGCATGCGCGCCCAGGGAGCAGTTGGGGGTTGGGGGTTGGGCGCCCAGGGAGCAGTTGGGGGTTCAGTGCCTTGATCAAGGGCACCTCAGTCGTGGTATTGAAGGTGGAAGAGAGCGCTTTCATTCACTCCCCCCACCTACAATCCCTGCCAGTACGAGACTCAAACCCACAACCTTTGGGTTAGGAGTCCGACTCTCTAACCATTAGGTCACGACTTCCCCATAAAGTTAGAGGAGGGCTCATCCGGGACTTCAAGAGTCGCTCTCAACTTATCTGTCTATAAAACCTATAAAAATCAGTCTTCATGTATTTCACAACACTTCAGCTTATGATTCTTATTAAGCAAAGGTTATTTTTCCCAAGCAATGTCTCTGAGAACCTGACACATTGCACTTCTGGAGACTCCAGGTAGGTTGCAGTTCTGGAAAATGGTGGCACTGGAGACTGAATGGTTCCTGGTGGTTTCACACCTAGTTCTTTACCTCAATTCTTAATTATTTTGCAGTTAACGTGTTCTTTCTGACTGTGCTGACTCAGTGAGCATTTCTCTGTCCAATGGTCATGCCTTAACTTTGCAAATTCTAGTATTGCATAAGTATTGCATCCTTCTCATGGGCATTTAATAATTTTTGACTTCCAGTTGGAGTTAAATCTCTTTATTGGGTAATTTTATCTGTAAAAGAAAACCTGCCTAATAATTCTGCACACCTGAATATAATACACCTGAGTTTTTCACTTCCAGCCTTCATGGACAATTATATATCACTTATAAATGATTAAATACAAAATTAATAGTAGTTATTAAGATTGATGTGGTTTGGAATTGATAAAATGAGGTTGGGAAAAATATGATCAGAATATCAACTTTCTTAATAATTATGCACACACTTTAAACTTAACAACTACCTTACTATTAATAAGCAGCAAATTAGGAGTTTATTGTGGCGAAAGTCAAGAGTTGATAGTTAGATAATAGTGAGAATTGGTCCCCAAACTAAAGTGTGTCCAAAACAAACAGACTCAACAAAGTAAAGTTTATTTATCCATGAATGTCAGTCCTTATCTCTGTCCCTTTTGTTCAGACACACACCATTTTCTCACTACTTGGCCTGGATCATACCTATGTCACCAGCACCGGACGTTTAGTAGGAGTGGTCTCTCTAAAAGAGGTGCGTGATTGTATTCTTTTACTGGCTCTTCTTTATAGCAGAAAAACTGAAAAAAAATTCTGTTTATAGCTGCGTAAGGCCATCGAGGGCTCTGTAACCGTGACTGGCGTGAAAGTCCGTCCCCCACTGGCCAGCTTCCGCGACAGCGGCAACAGCAGCAGCGTCTCAGAGGTCACCGAGCTCCACAAACTCTGGAGTCGTCACAGGAGCCTGCCGCTACCACGGGAACCTAACCTCCCCAACCTGGACAACCAAACGGAGCAGCCGTCAGATGGAAGCCTGGTGAACGAGACCGAGTGCACAGAGCTGTCCAGTCAGAACAGCCCATTACACACAGATGACCAATCAGAGCTGACGCCCCAAGAGGAGCACCTCGCGCAGCTCCCCTGTGACTGTACCCACCCTCTGGAGGACGGAGGCTTTGAGGTCGTCAGCGAGCAGAGCCCAGCTCCGATGGAGGAAGTGGTGAGCAGGGGAAGCCCCTCTCCCTCAGAGAGTCAGCCGAAATGACAGCTGCTTGCAGTCTGTAACGCACACTCCATTTACACCATAAACGGTATTGTGAAGTCAGGTTGAGGAAAACCTGGAGGAAGTCTTTAAGCAGTGAAGCACACTCTCTGCTCCGTACTAATCAAACCAACCCTAATCTCTGATCCTGCCTTCACAAGAAACACGCCGTGTGTGTTTGTATGTGTGGGATGTCATAGATACACGGTGTGGATGGGCTTGTGAGCGAACGTCTGTGTATTCCTCATAAATTTGGGTGTCTGTTGATTTGTGGCTTCATAGCGCGTTTCGGTGTTGAGTTATGTTGATGAGATTCATTTAAAGAAGTTTCTGTTCGATGATGTCACGGCGGGTTTTCGTCATAAACGTGTTTGTTTGTTGATTTGTGGCACGCTTGTGTGTGTGTTTCTTCGTCTTTGTACGTAAGAAAAGCCGAGTGTGTGTGTGAGAGTGACTCAGCTGCACCTTGCCAACGCACCCATCTGGTGCCGACACTTTAAATCCAAATAAAATTGTCTCTGAGAGCCAAACTGCAATTTTGCTCTAAATATAGCCCTTAATAACCCACACTGCAAGGAAACACGGAGGAAGAGAGTGGGGGAAAGAAAGGGAGCGGGTGGGCAAAAGAGGACACGGAGAGAACAAGAACATGATGCAAAATGAGCGAAAGACAGGAAGGACACAGGAACCAGTGTCATGGAAAGGCAGGAGAATAAATGGAAGAGTGGGGTAAACTGTGCCACTTTTTATTTAGATTGTCAATCAGGCAAGAAGAAATAAGTCATCAGGGAAATGAATATGCCTGATTATATTTCTGAACAGATAAAGGCACAGAAATATGACTTTTTAGGAAAAATTGCTGAGTGACACAACTTACCCCACATTAGGGGTAAGATGTGCCATGGATGTTGAGTCACCGGGGAATATTTGAATCTATTTCAGGTCAAATATGAACAATTAATTCGTTTTTGATGCTCAATATTCACATCTTAACCAACTAGAAAAATCCAGTGTATTTGCATGTAGTGTAACAATTTTCAACATTTATTTTATGATGTAAGTATATATTGTTTTTTCTGCATTTGAATTTGCATTTGACACACTTTACCCAAAAGCTACAATTTTGGGAAAAACGAAATATTAATTTCTAATTCATTGATAAATTTATTTAGTTGTGATATGATTTAACAATTCATAGCCTCTTTTGTTTTCTACACTGGCAATTCACCAAAATGTATGATAAATATTTTTAGACATTGACAAATTTGTTTTGACATCAAACTCATTTTACCTGCCATGCAGAAAATTTACTTTGACATTAATTTTTTTCACATACAAAAAAATTGACAATGTGAATCACAGGCAGCTGAATACAACAGACCTTTTATAGAACGTGGTCATTTGACAAAAATCATCCAGTTTGCTAGATTACAGGGATGGCGCATCTTACCCCACTCCTCCCTACAAAACCAACAGCGACTCATACAGAGGAGTTTCCAACCAGGGTAGTTTTGAAGCACATTGTAATTACCATTCAAACAAAACACAGCAATACACAGGCGTTTTCCATACTGACAACATCAGAAAAAAACTCCTTTAACAAAGCATCGCTGAGTACACGGTTTGGATGGTGTTGCCTGTAATTACGAGTAATGATATCCCACAATATGTAGGCACGTTAAGCATGCGCGGATCTGTTTCAGGACCAGTTTGTAGCATAGCTGCCTGGCCATTTAAAATGTATTAAAGCATCTTCCCTAAAAGCTCGAAATACTCAAGAGAGACTCCAAGTGGAGAAACGGAGCCTCTTAAATTCTTAATTATATGTATGAACCCCAATGCAATCATTTGCATGCTCACACATGCGCATAAACAATACGAATCATATTGCTTTCCAGCCAGCTTAAATAGCCTGCATTGGCATGTTTCACGTTACTTCATCAGGTTTACTTACATGGCCTTTTGCTTTTTTCTTCAAGGCCAGATTTGTTCAGAAATCCAGAGCGCAATACTTTTCGCACATGCTCACGATACGTCACAGATTTCGACGGCAGTGTAGATTGAGGGAAGTTTTCGAGTTATCGAGTTTCGAGTTTGTGTTAGAACCAGCCTTTGTATAAATACCATTGCAGGGAGTTTGTGGTCACTGTGCAGATCTCATCCAGCAGTCATCAAAGTATTAAAATGTAATTCATTGCAACGATGGATATTCTGTGTAACTGCGATCGTGTCTTATCTGAATTGTTTTGCATATGCGCAAAGCTTTTTACATTTGATTTTGAGCTGCCAACTGTGCAATAATGTCGTATTAGAACTACTGCTTGCCAAATACGGTTATTTTACTGAACGCTGGCTCTATTTCTACAGTGCATATTATTTTGAAACTGTTTGCAATAATGCACATCATGAATGGGTCATGCATTGAAACAAGGCAGGTAAATGCCTTCAGATTTAGTTTTCACAACTTGCAAAGTGTTTACTGGACCTCGGCGGTGGAGTTTTCACTAGTATCAGCCTGAGAATGATGTATAATGTTCTGTTTGCATCAAAACTGTGGCTGAACGACGCTATGCAGTATGGTCAAGAACAGCACAACTACCCCAGACACAGCCTAAGCAGAGCTAAACAGAGAATGAGTTACGTTTCTTTTTCTTGTGCACTGCAGAAATGGGAGGCTACAGGTTTGATTTAAACGGATCAAGGCAAGTGGACCAAAACCATAACCATGACACTGACTTTTCAGATTCTCTAAGAAACGCCTGCTATGGGTTCTGCGAGCCACACGAGCGAAATGTTTCCTCGCCATTCATCCGGCTGCACTAATCAGCTGTTTTATTAATGTTTGTTATGAAACCGAATCCTGACGTGGGACAGGAGTAACTTAAGCTAATAATGATCTTTAGATATGTTGTGTCACGTTTTGTCTCTGTTTGCCGCTTGTGCAGTTTAAGTCAAGCCCACAGTGTGTAAAGTGTCTGCTAATATGCCGCACATTCAGTGTAGAGTTAAGCAATAAGTCTGCTCCCATATCCGTAAATGGTTTTTATAAATCATTTGCTTGTACAGAATACAGGGTAAAGCGGTATGTATATGAACTCTACTCACATAACCTGTACATATAGAGATAAGCATATTGAATCAGCTGTTACCATTATTTTTCAGAAAACATGGAATTGTTTTGTACATCAGTAAATATTAAATTTCAACTTTAAAGCTTTCTGTTTTATGCAACTCATTTTTTTGTGGGAAATACTGGAATTATTATATATATATTTTTTTTTAATCTTGGAAGTATTTTTGTCTTGTTTTCTGGTAAAATATTTTTTTTTTTTAAAACACCCTCAAATAAAATGTACCCATAATGTAAATGTTGGGGATGATATTTCTACTGTAAAACCTGGCAAAAATACACAAGAAAATGTGTTTTTGCAGTTTAAGGTTTGCATAAGACACAGTGAAACGTATGAATATACACATAACTTTAATGCAATCATAATTCTCACATTTGACCTCAGACATTTTCTGTACAAACAATAAAAATAAACTTTTTTTGTAGGGGGATTCGCACATTCACATCAATGAACATCATGACATTACCGGTTCATATCGAGGATAATGATGACAAACGTGGTTGTATATGAATTTACACTGCCCTTCCCCATGCTTCTGCAATGAATGAATGCAGTCTGGAAAGGCAACATATACGTTCTGTCTACTGTTTTAGTGTAGCTGCATGTCAAGGTTGTATTAAATAGTAGCTTCAAAAAAACCTGTTCATTCAGCAGCCAATCACAAATCAAACTTCTATTGAAGTGCAGATAGGGAGAAAAAAGATGGCAAAACAGAGAGAAAGAAACATGGTAGAGGATTCTCACTCAGTTTGGTATGGAAGCCGATTTCTGCCACAAAAGAAAAAAAATCATTCTTTGGCAATCATGAAATGAAAAGTAATAATTATGGTGCAAGTCGAAATTATGAGACAAAAAGTCAAAATTCTGAAATAGACATAATTATGAGATAAAAAGGCAGAATTATGAGATAAAAAGTCAAAATTCTAACAGACATGAAATAAAAAGTTGAAATGATGAGATAAAATGTCAAATATGACAATCTCATATATGTAATAATTACGACTTTCTACCTAATAATTTAGATTTTTTTTCCATTTTAATTTAGCAAGTTGTAATTTCAAATATTTTTGTCATAATTTTTACATAATTTTGATTTTGTCATGTCATAGGTATGACTCATCTTTGACATAATTTTGACTTTTCATCTTATAAATACAACTTTGGATGTCATCATTTTGACATGACTTTATCTCATAAATCTGACTTTGTCTCATAAATAACTTTTTGTAATATATTTTTATTTCATAGGTATGACTGTCATAATTTATCATTTTATGAATATGACTGTCATAATTATTACTCAAGATTCTGAGATTTTCCAAATCCTGATTATATAATGCATCTGAAATGGGCTTCCATAGTTTGGTCATATACATCACACAGTGATCATAATAACAGGTACATTCTATTCATAGTTACCACGCTCCATCAAAGCAGAACCCTCCTGCACCTCAACCCTTCTGGAGCAAGCCGAGACACACGAGCACTTGCAGCGTGACATCTAAACCCAAACAAAATAAACAACTGAGGTTTTTCTGTCCCTCAGGAAACCCCCAATCCTGAAGTATTAACAACATTTTACTATGAGCATTACGTCACTTTTGAACAGTCACAAAAGGAAAGCATTTACATGTTCCTCACAGAGATTTTCCAGTCTCTTGATGTGTCGTCATGAATACGCCGAGAGCACAGGTAATGAGCGTCGCGTCTGCATTTCACTGGATACTGCAATCATAATGTCACTATCATTCAACTCGCCGCTTGAATGAGGAAACAGTACTGTGGCTTTCTTGAACGCTCATTTCAAATGAAGAGGATGTAGATCAATTGGAAGCAGGAATAGAGAGGAAGATGGGTAGTTGTCTCAAAAACTGGAAATCCTGTCTTCAATGGTTAGTTCACCCAAAAATGACAATTCTGTCATTAATTACTCACCCTCATGTAGTTCCAAACCAGTAAGATCTTCATTCATCTTTGGAGCGCAAATTAAGATATTTATGATTAAATCGGAGAGCTCTCTGACCCTCCATAGACAGCAAGGATCCTAACACGATCAAGGCACAGAAACGTAGCAAGGACATCGTTAAAATGGTCCATGTGACATCAGGGATTCAGCAGTAATTTTACGAAGCAGCGAGAATACTTTTTGTGCGCAAAGAAAGCAATAATAACAATTTATTCAACAATTCTTCTCCCCGAGGAAGCGTCTTCCGCCATTTTGGGGAGTACCCCAGAACGTAGTCATTAAAGGGGTCATATGATGCGATTTCAAGTTTTCCTTTCTCTTTGGAGTGTTACAAGCTGATTGTGCATAGATAAGATCCCTGAAGTTGCAAAGACTAAAGTCTCAAAACCAAAGAAATATTCTTTATCAATGTTAAGACTCTGCCACGCGCCCCTAAAACGGCTCGTTCTAACACGCCCCCCACATATCTACCTCACTATGTGGAAATATTTGCATAATGCCCCCAAATGTGCATGCAAACAAAGAAGGCGTGGTTTCAGTAACCGCAGTTAGTGTTGAAGCAGCCATGTCAGAGAGACGCTGTGTGTTTCAGTGCGAAAGCAAAAGCACTTTATTTGGCCTTCCAGAAGTAGATGCATTTAGGAATCTTTAAGATCCCTTACAACAGAACAGCAATGCATTTTATGGACGACCGTTTCGTGAACCTAGGAGAGGAGGTAATTCTGACTATGCTATGACAATCTGGCGCTTCTGAATCAGCTACTGTTTTGTTATTAGTTTAAGTATTTGCTATTGACTGTTCAAATGCGGAGTTTTGCGCATCGTGTGTGTGTGTGTGTGTGTTTGCGCGCGTGCGTGTGTGTGTGTGAGAGAGAGAAAGAGAGACAGGGTCACATCACAGTAGAGTCAGCTGTCTTAACCGTGGTTTGTGTACTGCAAACACATACCAGCTTCATCACTGTGTCTGTCACGTGACTCTGTTCCCCTTTCGGGCTTGAACTGATGGTAAAACTAATGACATTATTTACTGTCTTTACATTTATTTTGAAAGATGAAGCTCGCGATTATGGTAAGGGGCGTTACATTTCCGACGAGTGCTTGCGGTGTTCGGCCAATCACAATGCACTGGGTCAGCTGGCCAATCAGAGCAGACTGCGCTTGTCGGAAGGAGGGACTTTGTAGAAAACTAAGCGTTTGAGAGAGGCGGGGCATAGAGGACTTACAATAATGTACAGTATTTAAAAAATAATGTGTTTTTTGAACATTAAATCATGTCAATATATTCTGTTACACCAAATACACAAAATAATGATCTTTAAAAAAGCATCATATGACCCCTTTAATCAACGCAATGAGCGTTGTTTACGTTCAACATGCGCACGCTTTCTACTGAACAAAGACAACGCTCATTACGTTGATTATTGATTATTACATTTATGTCCTTGCTTTATGAGCCTTGATCGTGTTATGATCCTTGCTGTCTATGGAGGGTCAGAGAGCTCTCAAGATTTAATCAAAAATATCTTAATTTGCGCTCCAAAGATGAACAAAGGTCTTACGGGTTTGGAACGACATGAGGGTTAGTAATTAATGACAGAATTTTCATTTTCGGGTGAACTATCCCTTTGTTATCCATGCTGCTCTTTTCTATACAATGAAAGTTTAAACTGGAAATGAAAGGGAAACGTTAAATAAGCACCATTAAAGTATCATAAGTGGTCCACGTGACTTATGCACTATATTTTTAGTGTTCTGAAGCCGTACTATCATTTGTGTGGCTAAAATTTAAGTCATCATTCCTGAAATTCTTGCTTCTTGTTTGCATTCATTTTCACTGTTTGGAAAAGAGCAGCTTGAATCAGGGTTATTATTGTTAAATAAAACTAAAACCATACTGAGAAAAAAAAAATCATTACTTGAAATAAACATGAACTGAAACGAAATAAAATGTATAACAGAATACTTATTTTATTTCAGCTAGCTGTGGAGTCAAAATTTCTCAATTTCATTAAGTTTAGTCAAAACTTGGTTAAAGTTGAGACGGAAGTTTTAGTAAAATAAACTAAATAAAATAAAACCTAAAAACTATATGTACATATTTTAAAAACTAATAAAAATGACAAAAGCAACAAAATTAATAAAACTTTAATATTAAAATATAAAATATTAACAAAACTATAACAGTATATCAATGATACTAAAATAACACTGGCTCGCACATTTTTGTATCAAAGAGATACTATTATACTGTAGTTTTTATTAATATTTTGAATCAGTTTTAGATTTAATTTAGTATTTTCCATTCCATTCACTTTCTTTTTCATTTTAGCCTATAGTTTTCATGATTCTGTTGTGTTTTTGTCATTTTTAGTAGTTTTAATTTTTTTATTATAATTTTTATAATTTTTTTTTTCATTTTATGGTTTTAGGTTTTTTTAGTACATCAAGGTAAACCAAATTAAATGAGAAATGCTGCCTTGGCAAAAAGCTGAAATATATATTCAAAGTGTTTACTGTATATAGAAATTATTTCAGTGAAAAAATGGTTTTAACTTTAGCTTCAGTTTTAGTTAACTAAAACAGTTTTAGTTAACTATAATAACCCTGATTCCGCCTAACATTATTTGTGGTCCACAGAAGAAAGAAGATAAAAAAAGATTATGATAGACAAGAGGGAGCAAAAATGATGACATAATTTTCATTTTTTAGATGAACTATCCCTTTAAAAGTATGGGGAAGAAAAACAAGTCATTGTCTCTGAATGCATAACAGACTGGACAAACACTTCACAGAAGGGTTACTACAAAGGGACTGAGACAAAAGGGCGAGCGAGAGCACAGCGTCACTGCTTGGAACCTTCTTCCTGTTCATCCTCCTCCTCCTCATCATCATCAAAAGACACAGCTCCAGAGGTATCAGAGATGCTTCGACAGTGTCTGTACCAGCGGATGACTTCCTGAAAGACGTTGTCCTCCCCTTCCTCCACCTCTCGTCCATCCTCCTCTTCTTCGTCCTCAGGTGAAAGACCAGACTCGGAGTAGGAGGTGGAGTAGTAGCAGGAGTCTCCCTTGCTCCACAAAGGCCTGCGGTCTGGTTTGTGAACCGCACATGTGGCCCTGTCGCCCTCGCCTTCTGAAAGCTGGAGTTCTTGGGCGTGTGGTGGCACTTGTTCTGAGATGAGCAGCTCGTCGGGGTCTGACTGACTGAGCGTGCCGTCAGAGCATGGGATTTCAGCGGTGTCTGTCTCAGCCTGACTTGGCACTGGGCAGCTTTGATTGGATAATACAGGGTCTGAGGGAGGAGCAAAGTGTAAGAATACCTATAGATGTAGGTCAGAGAGGGCAGAAGTGGAAAAGAAGATGGACACAGACAGAAAGATGACACGAATCACAAAAGGTACGAAAAAAGGAGAATTAAGACAAGCCGAAAACACAACAGAAAAGGCAGATGATAAAGAGCAGAAAAGATGAATGAGAAAACAAAATTGCTGATGTTCCACATAAAAAGACATGCACTGTGGCGAGAAAAATGCTAATATACAGGGTCCACAAAATGTATCTGAACACTTTCGGAGTCAAAATGTCTGAATGTCACTGCACTACATACAAAATATCAAGTGGCATCTGAAAACACATAATATGAGAAATTATTCCACTTTTAAGAGCACTTTTTCAATAGTTTTTTTTAACAAACTGCTTTTGAGATCATTTTTTTCAGTTTAGTTCAAGTATGACAACCAGAAAGTGTCAAATACTTTTTTTTGTTTTCATTTTAAACAATAGATTTCTAGTTCTATATTCTAAAATCTAAAGTATGTGTGTGTGTGTGTTATATCTTTCAAATATAAGGGGTTGTTCAGGTTTTTTAAAAGAGTTTTTGACTCGTATGCTCACCAAGGCTGTATTTATTTGATCTAAAATAAAGTAATAACAGTAATATTGTGAAATATTATTACAATGTAAAATAACTGTTTTCTATTTTAATATATATGATGTAATTTTTCAGAATTTTCAGCAGCCATTACTCCAGTCTTCTATTATGCTGATATGGTGCTCAAGAAACATTTCTTATTATTATAATGGCATGCAACTATTATGTCGTGCTACCTAATATTTTTGTAGAAAAAATCTTTTGTAACACTATAAATATATTTACTGTCCCTTTTGATCAATTTAATGCATCTACACTCAATGTATGCTACTCGTCACTCAAATTCATTCATATGTTTTTATTTGTGACTTAAATCTCCAAATACTGTATATTGACGGGTGAGCACCCACGCTCACCTGAGCTCAGAGTTGTTGTGATTGGCTCATCATTTAGAGGAGGATCCTCTTCATAGGACTCTTCGTCCATCTCCTCCTCATCTACAGAGGTCCAGGCACGAAGCTTCGCCTCTGCAATGGCAAACTGCTCAGCCACACCTACAAAAAAAAGGAATCGTATCGAATGACCCTGGAGTTTACACAATGACGCTAATTAAACAAAAGGCAGTGCAACAAAATCTCTTTTGACACAGTGATGACGCAGAAGTTTACTCGTGATGCTTTTGTTCTGATTGAAAAAGCTCTGCTGTTGAGAGACTCAGGTTTTGCTGTTAAATGCACCCTAACTCAGCAGCCACATTTACTGCAGTCAGGAAACTGATGACAGCCAAACATGTGGCAGAGTATAAAAGCTGCCGGGAAAAGTAAAGTCAAAGGAGGAGAGCCAGAAGACAGGAATGAAGTAAACTGACATGCAGGATCAGCAGGTGTAGATGTGTGACTGTGTAATCTAATTTAACAGCATCTGCTGAGTCTGAAAGCCTTCAGCTGGCACATCACGGACGGGCTAAAGTTGACTGACACTTGCTAAAATTCCTTATTGTTACATTATATATTAATGTTAATTATAAAGGAATCGTATCGAATGACCCTGGAGTTTACACAATGACGCTAATTAAACAAAAGGCAGTGCAACAAAATCTCTTTTGACACAGTGATGACGCAGAAGTTTACTCGTGATGCTTTTGTTCTGATTGAAAAAGCTCTGCTGTTGAGAGACTCAGGTTTTGCTGTTAAATGCACCCTAACTCAGCAGCTACATTTACTGCAGTCAGGAAACTGATGACAGCCAAACATGTGGCAGAGTATAAAAGCTGCCGGGAAAAGTAAAATCAAAGGAGGAGAGCCAGAAGACAGGAATGAAGTAAACTGACATGCAGGATCAGCAGGTGTAGATGTGTGACTGTGTAATCTAATTTAACAGCATCTGCTGAGTCTGAAAGCCTTCAGCTGGCACATCACGGACGGGCTAAAGTTGACTGACACTTGCTAAAATTCCTTATTGTTACATTATATATTAATGTTAATTATATTCAGTATAACATTAATGTAAAAATAAATACTATAGTAAAAAGGAAACTATTTTCAAATTTTTAAACTTTTACAAAAAAAAATTAACATTATTATATATGTAATGAAGTATATTAGACAGACAGACAGACAGACAGATAGAAACAATTACTACATTAATTCCAGTGATTATTAATTACAAACCCAATTCCAAAAAAGTTGGGACACTGTACAAATTGTGAGTAAAAAAGGAATGGAATAATTTACAAATCTCATAAACTTATATTTTATTCACAATAGAATACAGATAACATATCAAATGTTGAAAGTGAGACATTTTGAAATGTCATGCCAAATATTGGCTCATTTTGGATTTCATGAGCGCTACACATTCCAAAAAAGTTGGGACAGGTAGCAATAAGAGGCCAGAAAAGTTAAATGTACATATAAGGAACAGCTGGAGGACCAATTTGCAACTTATTAGGTAAATTGGCAACATGATTGGGTATAAAAAGAGCCTCTCAGAGTAGCAGTGTCTCTCAGAAGTCAAGATGGGCAGAGGATCACCAATTCCCCCAATGCTGCGGCGAAAAATAGTGGAGCAATATCAGAAAGGAGTTACTCAGAGAAAAATTGCAAAGAGTTTAAAGTTATCATCATCTACAGTGCATAATATCATCCAAAGATTCAGAGAATCTGGAACAATCTCTGTGCGTAAGGGTCAAGGCCGGAAAACCATACTGGATGCCCGTGATCTTCGGGCCCTTAGACGGCACTGCATCACATACAGGAATGCTACTGTAATGGAAATCACAACATGGGCTCAGGAATACTTCCAGAAAACATTGTCGGTGAACCCAATCCACCGTGCCATTCGCCGTTGCCAGCTAAAACTCTATAGGTCAAAAAAGAAGCCATATCTAAACATGATCCAGAAGCGCAGGCGTTTTCTCTGGCCCAAGGCTCATTTAAAATGGACTGTGGCAAAGTGGAAAACTGTTCTGTGGTCAGACGAATCAAAATTTGAAGTTCTTTTTGGAAAACTGGGACGCCATGTCATCCGGACTAAAGAGGACAAGGACAACCCAAGTTGTTATCAGCGCTCAGTTCAGAAGCCTGCATCTCTGATGGTATGGGGTTGCATGAGTGCGTGTGGCATGGGCAGCTTACACATCTGGAAAGGCACCATCAATGCTGAAAGGTATATCCAAGTTCTAGAACAACATATGCTCCCATACAGATGTCGTCTCTTTCAGGGAAGACCTTGCATTTTCCAACATGACAATGCCAGACCACATACTGCATCAATTACAACATCATGGCTGCGTAGAAGGATCCGGGTACTGAAATGGCCAGCCTGCAGTCCAGATCTTTCACCCATAGAAAACATTTGGCGCATCATAAAGAGGAAGATGCGACAAAGAAGACCTAAGACAGTTGAGCAACTAGAAGCCTGTATTAGACAAGAATGGGACAACATTCCTATTCCTAAACTTGAGCAACTTGTCTCCTCAGTCCCCAGACATTTGCAGACTCTTATAAAAAGAAGAGGGGATGCCACACAGTGGTAAACATGGCCTTGTCCCAACTTTTTTGAGATGTGCTGATGCCATGAAATTTAAAATCAACTTATTTTTCCCTTAAAATGATACATTTTCTCAGTTTAAACATTTGATATGTCATCTATGTTGTATTCTGAATAAAATATTGAAATTTGAAACTTCCACATCATTGCATTCTGTTTTTATTCACAATTTGTACAGTGTCCCAACTTTTTTGGAATCGGGTTTGTACATTAAAATGAGGTAAAAAAAAACTGTGCATATATATATATATACTGGTATATGTAATGAAATATAAGTCAGATAGATACAATTACTACATTAATTACAGTGATTATTAATAATTACATTAATTAAAACGAGGTAAAAAAAAAACTGGATATATACAGTGGGGAAAAAAAGTATTTAGTCAGCCACCAATTGTGCAAGTTCTCCCACTTAAAAAGATGAGAGAGGCCTGTAATTTTCATCATAGGTATACCTCAACTATGACAGAGGGGAAGGAGACACCCACCTGCTGCAAACCGGGCCTCCTGCTCACCCTCGCTGAGATGGGAGTAAGAGTTAAAGTGGGACTGCAGTGTAGCAGATGGAGGATCTAAGGGCTTAGACCAGCCCTTCCACTCGATCAGATGAGCCACCCGACCCTGAGCCATGGCTGTGGGTTTGGTGACGTGATCCTTCACCACCTGTGAGATGCCTGGTGGGGAAAACACAGGAAATTGTTAAAGACTGATTAACTCAGTGTGTTGCTAACATGCATTAATGTTCATGATTATGCTACAGGTGTTTAAACCCTTACCATTAAATGATGATCTGGCCAGAGCTGCAATTTCCTGGATGCTAAGGGCTTTTCTTGACTTGGGGAGCATATCAATAGGGTCGTCAACCTGGGGAAGCAAGTTCAAAGACAAAATGGTCTCCTTTTGGAATGTGTAAATATTATAACTTCATAGGAAGAAGCAGTTTAAAATGATTTAGTCATTAGTACTCAACAGTGTTAGGGAGTAATCTAGTGTAACAGAATTACATAATTTGGTCCCACTTTACATTAAGTGTCCCTAATACCTGTGTACTTAGTAACTAAATATGTATGTAGTATGTAACCACAGTGTAAGTACACACTGGTACATAGTATCTACAACTGTAATGTTTGTGTAACTACACACATATAACAACCCTCTGAATGGTATGTGTAAGTACAAATGTGTAACAGGACATTGGTAACAACACTTTTTGGTAATGAAAGTACAAATGTGTAACAGGACTAACAGCACTTTTTGGTAAAGAAAGTGTTACACTTTATAACAGATTTATCACGTAATTACTCTGATGTTACTCAGCAGCGGCATTAAGTTAGGCTAAGGCTTTACATATAAAAGTTTGGTGTCCAGAATGTTACACTTTATATTAAGTGGACAGTTCCTGAGGAGTTACCATGTAAGTACACTGGTATTACAGTGGTGCACCAACTCCAACTCGAGATCCAACTCCTCCCACTTTACATATCCCTAAACCTACCCATCACCACCCCCTGGATCCCATTTCCACCCCTAAACCTACCCATCTCCACCCCCTGGATCAGATGGTTCCAATTACTCTTATACATATTGTTGTTACAAAATGTAGTTATATATGTCCTGTTACACACTTGTACTTACACAAACCATTCGGAGGGTTGTTAC